GAAGAATGTAGAACTATAGTGTAATGCAAGACTTACATAAAATCTGAATGAAGCGTTTATATAAATCCAAGGGCTGGAACACACGGAATCTTGCTTGGCAAGTTCTGAGTAAAGAGGTAGCACAGATCTTTAATAGTACTATGTAAAGGATTATTACTGAAGATCTGGAAACTGGACAGGACTGAGATGTTTAGTAAGGCACTATAACACCAGGCCATCAGATATTCCAAGGAAGGGTCCATCTTTCAGAACTATCTGAATTGAGAGTTTGAGGACTGGTAAAATAGTAGATAGTTTGTAAAGTGGATACTGGGGTTTGGGTGAACTCTACAAAGGCAGGAGTAGGTAATGGTAGCAGCTTCGGCTTGCAAGTACTCATTTTCAGACTTGGCATAAGTTACTAAAGTTTAGATTAGCCAGATTGTGGATACAGAAAGCTCTAGCAATGATGTCTCGAGAATAAATTAGTCCTAAGACTAAGGTACACATTCAGAACTCTTGACTAATGAATGTAATAGAGTGTTCTGGTAATACAAGGGGCAGTATATATTATAGAGGATTTAAATAGATAATCCCCTAGTTGGGTTATAGGTATGGTAGCTAGTGTAGAACCTATGGTGTATAGTTATTTATATGCAGACTACTTAAAGGGTAGGGTGGATGTAGATCATTTTTTATATGATCTATGTGGTATATTAAAATTTTACATAGACAGAAAAAATTCGGCTTTGATAAAACTTTAAAAACGTAACTAATCTTCGCCAAATTTTTCAAGTATATAATTTGGGGTCTCTTAATTATAACAGCAAAATTATGAATACTGTATCTTTTAAAAAAAAATTCAATTCATATATTGGTAAAATTTCTTAGATGGCTTCAAATTTCCTTAGATTGCATAAAAATTACTGATTCTGATTGACCAAATTTGTTGTTTTTACGATTTTAATTGGTTAATCACATGATTTCATATGAATACCATGTGATGACTATTAAAAATGATCTATATCCACCCTACTCTTAAATAGGCACTCAAAAGGCACACGTGTGGCTAGTTGTATTCTCTAATATAATTAGAGTTTCATTGTAAGCTCCCTACCCATTATACTTGAATAAAAACCCCTATGCCAAAGAGGCTAGTTAAAAAAAAAAAAAAAAAAAAAGAATATATAATTTCTTACACAAATATTTTTATAAATTTATATAGTTATTAATATAGTAACTATAAGTATATCCAAAGCAAGGTATAATATATACTTCATATTGTAATAAATTTAGCAGATAAATTCTGCTAGTAATTTAATATAAGAATTAATATAGTTGTAATGTTGTCTAGAATCCTGATACTTAAAATCATACCATTGTACTAGCTATAGTATTTTTATAATTTATTCATAATAGTAATAGTACTTATAAAAGAAAATTTTAATTTATAAATTAATTTACAAATAAAAAAATATATAAGCTTAGTAATTAGAAAGTAATTACCTTTCTAAAGTATAATATTTTTTTTTTTTTTTTTTTTTTTTTTTTTTTTTTAAATGCCATAGTTGAAACTTTATTTAATAAAATAAAAAAGAATTCTACATTTAAAGATTTCAAATTACATTTGTGCTACTAAGAAGACACCCAATGTGACATTATACCCCCTAATTTTCTATAAAATGCTTATTAATTATTATATAACTAATTAGCTAGAATAGGTTGGAGGAAATCTAAGGTATATATCATAGCATTTAAAAAATATAATTGGTTAAAGAAAAGCTTTGTAAGAACCATTTTTCTATAGAAGAAGTATAATCTATTTGAGATATATTTAATGAGAAAGTATTTGGTATAGAGGAGGTATTTGGTAAAATATATTTAATCCGTTTAGTTTTAGAGGTAATATTTTGGGCTTGTTCCCATTAATGTTGAGAGATGTTCTGTATAGTCTATATTTCCTTGTGAAACCAGTTTAAAAGATTGTTAGATAGAGTAGTTAAAAATTGTTTAGTTTGTTTGGCAGTACGTGACCTAATATTTTCATAAACCGTTAGAGGGTAAATGCCGATAATGTAGTATAAGAAGAGGTTATAAAGTGGGTTTTAATTATTGTGATTCATAAAAGAATATTGGAAATTGTAAGTGTGGAAGTGGAATGTTACTTCACTAAGAGCAGTTCGTAGAAAGTATATAGTTAAAGAAAGATATATTTTATTTACGATATATAAGACTTTAATTACAAGAAAGTATCCTATAACCAAAGAAGGTTTCTGTATCTACTTGAGTCTATCTAAAGATGATTCAAACTAACTGGCAGGAAGATAGAAAAGCCAGGGTTTATATATCTTTTCTAAACTATCTAAAACTAATAGAAATAATAAGAAATAGTAGAAACGGTAGAAACGTAGAAATGGTAAGAACAGTAGAAATGGTAGAAATAGTAAAAATGGTAAATATGGTAAGAATGGTAGAAATGGTAAGAATAGTAGAAACGGTTACCTTCTATCAGTTTCTAATGCTACGCGCAACTAACCAATAATTTCTAAGATTACTTGATATACAATAATAGAATACAAGATAATAATATAATAATATAATAATACTAATAATAACTAATAATAAACTTAATAATAAAACTAATACTACAACCCATTCTATAACAATACCAATAAATCTACAAGACAACAACCATTGTAGTTTACTAATATTCTTCATTTAATACAAAACAATACAGTTACAACAACATGATCACATCTATCTTTACCTCAAATAAACTCCTTTATTAATACAACTAACCTCTTCTCACTATCATTTTCTACCAACTCTTCATCATTAATACAGCTATCCGTTACTACCAACAACACTCCCTTCCTTACATATTTAATCTCTATAACTAATACTTTAACATATAAACTAACTTCTATTAGTCTAGGCTTTTCTTAACTAACACTAACAAATCTCTCATCCTCTCAAATTCTTTTCTTCTTTATTCTTCCCTATAATTTAACTAAAAAACTAAACAATTCACTTCATATTCAAATTGACTATAAAGAGATTTTATCATTAATCAATATATTTAACTTTACTAATACTACAACTCCTTCTCAATCAATACCACAAATTAACATTCCTACATAAGAAATTCAACTAATAAACAATATAATTCAATCAAATGCCTATCAACATCAACTTATAAATCTCCTTACACTTACTCAAAATCTTATTTCTCAAGATCTCCATTTCTATTCTGATGCATCAATTCAAAATCTACAATCATCAAATATCAGATCTGGTATTGGCTAGATTTGTGAAAACAATATATCTATTAAATTTAATGCTGCTACTATCCCCTATTCAGATATAACTTGAGCAAAACTTAAAGCTATTATTTCTCTCCTTCTTATAATCTCTAATAATATCTATATTAATATCCATCTGGATAACAATACTGCAATTAAAAATCTGAGACAAACATACTACACTAAACCTATTCAAAACCAAAACTGGGTTATCTTACTTCTTATTAACAATATCAAATCTACTAAAAATATCTCTTTCACATTACACAAAATCAAATCACATTTTAATTCTCTTCACAATCAAGCAGATTCACTTGTAAAGTGAGGAACTAACAAAGCAATATTAGAAATTTCTCATAACTATGCAAATCTACCAACTCACTTTTTATGGAATAATCATCTAATTCCTTCTAAAATATGAACCTTTATTAAAAATATATATACTATACAAGAACTTTACTTATGGTCCTCACTTAAAATATTTAAAGATATAGCTGAAATTAATTGGAAACTATGTTTTAATATTTTCAACTCTCTAGAATATAACCCTTCAAAATACTCCTTAAGAATTAAAATTCTAACCAACAATCTTCCTACTATGGAAAATCTTAATATCCGTTATCCCTACTTGTATACTACACCAAACTGCACCTGCTGTTCTTATTTAGAGGATATTCTATATTTACTTCTTTGCCCTAATAATAATATAAATTTTCAACATTCATTAACAGATATAATTACTGATACACTTTCCTCTATAAAGATAACAACTACACCCTCACTTACAATTCTCAATATTCTTTTACAATTCACACTTAATAATTTAAACCTACTTTATAACCTCTTTTTATACTACATTATCGATATTTAACCTCTAATGGTTTATGAAAATATTAAGTCACATACTGCCAAACAAACTAAACAATTTTTAACTACTCTATCTAACAATCTCTTAAACTGGTTTCACAAGGAAATATAAACTATACAGAACATCTCTCAACATCAATGGGAACAAGCCTGAAATATTACCTTCAAAACTAAACAGATTAAATATATTTTACCAAATACTTCCTCTACACCAAATACTTCTTCATTAAATATATCTCAAATAGATTATACTTCTTACAAGGCTTTTCTTTAACTAATTGTATTTCTTAAATGCTATGATATATACTTTAGGTTTCCTCCAACCTATTCTAGCTAATTAGTTATATAATAATTAATAAGCATTTTATAGAAAATTAGGGGTATAATGTTACATTGGGTTATTAAAATTTTAAAAAGTTTCTTAAAAGTTTATACATTTCTGAAAAAAAATTTTTTAGTTACTACTAAATAAAGTTAAAATTTTGCTTAATTAATTATAAAAATAATAATAATAGAAATAATTTAATTTTAAATTTTCTACAACTTTGTATTAAGGTAATAGGGGTTAATCTTAAATTTTTTTTAAACAAAACTAAAAAAAAGAAAAAAATTCTTAAAATTAAAATTTTTTAAAAAATTTACAAAATTTTCTTTTATATACAATTTCAAATTTTTTATAACTATTAAACAAATAAAAATAAGTTTTAATAGTATATAATCATAGTTTTATTTAAAAAAAAATTTTATTTTTAACAAAAATAGATTAGATGTGAATTTATAAAATTTAAGCAGGCAAATTTGTCTGCTTATCTGGACAGTTTAAGAGATAGCATATTAACAGTCTAATCTGATTCAGCCAGTTTTTTTTAAATATACTCATTTAAACATACTTATTTAAATATATTCATTTAAACATACTCATTTAAGCATAATTATTTAAACATACTCATTTAAGCATATTCTTTCAGACTAGCGATGTAAAACTTAATAATTATTATAGTTTTATAAATAACAACAAAGATCAATTACATCATTATTAAATTTAGAATTATAAAAGCAAAATATACATAATAATCTTACAAAATAATACATAATAATTTTACATAGATGCATCATATTGGTATGATTTAATTATATTTACATAATGATTTTTCAAAAGATTTTATGAAAAGGACTGATTTACTATGAAAATGATTTAAATCAACAAGAATTTAAACAGTATTATAAATTTCTGATATCAACAAACGTTCACTTTATCCGAATTAAGAACATCCACTGTCAATTTCTAAGGTTATTGCACTCACTAATTTATCATTTAAAATTGACGACCACTTACAAGTTAATAAGAGGATTCATAATAATATTTAATATTATTAAAAGAATCCAAATATATGAATTATAATGAGGATGGTTTAATTGATAGGATGTTTGAACTGTTACAGCTTAAACTACTGAATATCAAAATCCTGAAACTTAATTATCTCGTGCGATGTCAGTAACATAATTCTTAATCTTCGCTGATTGATGATTAGTACCAGAGCCACTGAATTCTAGCAATAGCAAAAGTAACACTGGTGATATCATGAAAACCACATATCCAAATCCAACTAAAATTGGTTTATTTTAATTCTATATGTCTGTAGAATCAAAATAAAACAATTCTGGTTAGATTTGGTTATGCAGTTGTCGTGATATCGCTTATGCTATTTTTGCTATTGCTAAAATCTGGTGGCCCTGATTATTACCGTATTCCATTTGCCAAAGTATCCGGTATGACAAATAATGTAGATCAACTTTTAAAATATTATTTATATATCATGTACGTATATGTAATACCTGTGATTTAAATTTTTTAATTGTAAAAAAATTGCATCACACAAGTATTTTGTGAACGGAATATGGTACTAACATCACACGAGTATTTTGTGAACAGAATATTGGGGTGTTAGATACCAAATGATCTACTATCATAGTGCGACACATATAATCAGATCTAATTGTTAGGATTTTTTACTGGAAAATCAGGCATATTCAGATACATTCTTGGGTATAAATTTATTAAATAAATTTTTTGAACGCATTTATATTATCATAAACAAATTTTTATACTTCTATTTTTTTTTTAATAAACTTTTTAAAATAGCTTAAGCAGCCACTTCACCAAGCTCTTCTTCAGTATTTTCAGCTATGTCACTCTGTTGCTTTTTTCGGATTGCCTTTAAATCTTTATGATCAAAATTTACCTCCAGTTTACTTGGACTTGAGAGTAGAAGCCTTGCTTCTTGCACTTCGTCAGTCATATTTGGGTGCGTTTTGATATCATATTTATTAAACATTCCTTCTAGTTGCTGCTAATGAAATATAATTGACCATATTCTATATTTTACAAAATCATATGGAAGAGGAAAATTAGAGAGCTCATGTGGATGAGACATTGAAAAGCTAAGAAATTGGTTTAAAAAATTGGAATCATTTAGTGCATTTAATAAACTAAATGACAAGATATTTCCTTCCAACTTATCTTTTTCTAATAGTTTTGCATATAGGAGTTCTTTTTTAGTTGGTTCAACATTTGATGGGTGGTTTAAAAAAACACGGCAAACACTTTGTGCAAAGTCAGGTCCGTTATCTCCACCTAACAAACATATTGTTAAGGGTAAATGAGTCCAGCAGCCCATCCATTTTAAAAATTCATCCCGGGCTTTTTCTAAACCAATTTTTATGTTGTGAATTAAAATACTAAATTCCTGATCACATAGTTTTGATTGGGCTTCAACAAATTCTTTATCAAAAATAATATAGGGGTTAGCAATTATACACTGTAATTCTTCAAGCCACAACAAAACTTGATCAGAAAGTTTATACGCACGGTACCCAGGAGGAAGGCATTTAAATAAATTATTCTCTAATACTCGAGGTATAGAATCAAACCTGGTTAGAAATTCAAAGAACTTTAAATAAAAAAAAATTCCAAATTGTAGCATATATTTTATTTGGAGATTAAGTTTCGTATTGTTTATCTATTCAACAAAGACCTTTCGGGCATATTTTTAAATTGGTTAAGCTGATTCACAAACCAAGTTCCAAAGAGGTGATGTGCATTAAAATTTTTGAGGTACTGATTTGCAGTTATTAATTGGTATCGCCATCGGCTTGAGATAGGTCTTTGATATTTTGGTAAAGTATATTTTAGGAGTGTCCAATATAATTTTTGTATTATATTTGATTTCATATTTAATGGATACTCTTTATTACTTTCACCGTATCCATCATGTAAATAGTAGACAAGTTGAAGAAGGTTATGAGGATGTTCTCGCAAAGATAATCCTGATACTGTATTTAACTTTCCGAATGCAGTATTTTCAAAAGCGACTAAAGCTATCTGTAGTGTGTGCAGACCACATGGAACCCTATACGAAGATGCATTATTTTGTAAATTAAATTCTACAACGGCACCTGATTTATGCCCTGACATGTATGCCGTGTTATCGATAAGCCAATATCCACACTGTTTTGGATCCAAATTATTTTTTTCACATACTAATTTTATCATTTTTGCTATTATATCTCCACTGCATTTATTTATATCAACCATTTTGGCAAAGGTAAGAATAGGTTGATTTTTATGTTCGTTCCAATATGAAAAACAAACTAAAAACACCTTTTTATCTCCCTTGTACTTTCATCAGCCATTATACCATATGAATAAGAAGGTGAATTTGGTTTACCTGGCCGATTTTGTTGAAGTAATAAGTTAGCAACTTCCTTATTCCAACGAGAAAGTGTTCCTGTTGAGAGCCAATGATCTGGTTTCTCCCCAGTAAAGAAAGTCGCCATCGCTTTAGTGCATTCGACTGCAGCAGAAAGAGAAACTGTTCCAATGTTGCTTATATTAGTAGCAAGATTAACAAATTCGGCTGTATACTCATGCTTATTCTGTTTTATTAAATTTTTGCTGCTTTTTGAAATTGACTTTTTGTAATTTTTTTTGATTTTTGAGAAATAGATTAAATCCTTGAAATATACTTATATTTCGCTTTCTCTGCTCGTACAAGCTTCATACAGAAAGACCTAAGCTTGTGATTTAATTTTTCTAAAGACTTTGCTAACTTGTTGTTTTCGGTTTCTAATTTTTTTACTTTATCTTGAAAATCTTTAGCAGATGAATGTTGCTTAAAAAGACCACTAGCTACGAATTCATTTGCTTTATTCTGTAGGTATGGTGACAATATTTCACTTTTTGTTTTACCTTTAGAATATACCATCGTACTAATTAAATATTCTATTCTTAATATTTGATTATCTGGTAAGCTTTTTATATGATTAATTAATATATTGAGTTTTTTTTCAACAATACTTTGTCATTTTGGGTTGATCGAATCGACGTAGTTTCGCAGTTTTATTAACTCTTCCTGGTCAAAGGAATCAATGATTTCGTAAACGTTGATGTTTTGTGATTGTGAGTTAAGCGAATTAATATGGTTTTGAATATTTTTTAATTCTTCCTGGCCCAAGGAATCAATAATTTCATAGATGTTAATGTTTTGTAATTGTGGGTTTAGCGAATTAATATAGTTTTGAATATTTTTTAATTCTTCCTGGCCCAAGGAATCAATAATTTCGTAGACATTAATGTTTTGTGATTGTGGGTTTAGCGAATTAATATGATTTTGAATATTTTTTAATTCTTCCTGGTCTAAGGAATTA